ATTAAGGCAAAACATGCATCAGAGTAAAATTACAAGCAATATATACCTTTAATTAAACCAATATATTATAATGAGGCCAAGATAATAGTACATTCCCCTTTGGGCAGAACGCATTAACCAAGGTTGAACTAAGGACAGAACCTCGGATGAGTTAATCAATGAGTACAACACTGGGTTTGAAAATCTATCCCCTTTGGGCAGATAGATTCCTAGACCAATGAGCCTCCAATAACTTCATCTACAATCTCAAGAAAAGTTGCTAGGATGAGTTAATCATTTAGCACAACAGGTTGTCATAACAAGGCCAACATACTAGTACATTCCCCTTTGGACAGAATGCACAAACCAATGTATAAACCAAGGTCAGAACCTCAAATGAGTTAATCAATGAGCACAACATTGGGTTCGAAAATCTATCCCCTTTGGGCAGATAGATCTCTAGCCTAATAATGAGCCTCCAATAACTTCATCTACAACCTTAAAGAAAAGTTACTCAGTGAGCATACACTGACTTCAGAGATTTCTCCCCTTTGGGCAGACAGATCACTTAGATCAATGCACCTCCATTAACATCATCCCAAACAAGTTCATAGTTATAACCTACAATTACCCCTTTTGGGCAGGAAATTGTATAAAATAACCAAAATCATTCATTAATTTTTTATTTTTTTATTTTTACAAAGAAATTTTTTTACAAACCAATATAAGTAATCTCACTTTGGTAGCAATTACCCATAGTAATTCATCAAAACTCTTACACCGAAATTAATTTTCTCTTGCCCAAAACCACAACTCAATCCACAAGGTGCAACATATCTACTGATCATGAATTCAAAATAATAGCATTCTCAAACAAATTTTGCATTTAAACAATTCAAGCGGAAGCATGCACCTTAATAAACAAAAATAAAAAAAATTAGAGCAAGCATATAAGATTTATCACTTTCCCAAAAAGGATATTTATTGCAATAATTTTTTATTTTATTTTAATATATCATAAAATCACATTTAATTATATCACCACACAAATAATATTTGATAAAATTGGATCACTATTGGGCTCTCAAGGGCTTTATGCACCATAGCCTATGGATGTGGATGGGCTTTACTCAAAAGATCCAAATAAGTTTTCTTCTCCACAATCAAATTAATCATCGCATAAATAAATTGCATCCATAAATAATGTCTAACTCTAAATGAAGCATTTTCGTCAAAGTTATTATGGATTGATGCATTTTTATTCATGTTGAATGCAACGTATGTGCCCCACATGGCTACCAAATAATTTTTATTTTAAATTATTCTTTCCAAATAGTTTCAAACAAAATATAAAAACACCAACTGTAACGTATTTATTTCTATACAAATATTTTCATTATCCAACAAATACGAAATATATCTTGAAGCCTTTCATTCAATTCCATCAAAGATGTCAAATCAAGTAATAATAATAATAAATTTATCCGAACACAAATATACAATTATTTGATTTGATGATTGTATCATTGATGTTATATTCTCTGCCATATAATCAACCATCATTCCAACAATAATAGGGCAATTATGTCATAATAAAATTTATTCATAAAACATATAAGAAAACCGCACTCAATGATTACTTATAACAGGGCAATTCAGAAAACATATAATAGAGCAATTAAGAAAACATTGGGCAATTCAGAAAACCCGCACTCAATGTATTTATTTCAGAAAATTTATTCCAACATTAATAGGGCAATTCAGAAAACATATAAGAAAACCCCAATGCAAAAATGCAAAAAATGCATCGAACCAGTTTTAGTTTTGTTTTTTTTTATTATTATTATTTCTTAAATGAAAACGCTATACACCATATAAAATTTTGACCTTTTATATCATAAATATCAGAATGGGGATAAAAGCAAAAGTAAAATTGATCAATCAAAAGACGGCACAACACCTTTTCAGGATATGGATTACGGGTAAGACAATCGATTCTCAAAGTTAATCTAAAAATTACATATTTCATAATAAAAGAATGTAACAAATTAATCAAGAAATTTCAATCATGTTCAATAGCAACAATTGGGTCCTAACTCATAATCTAGGCTCTGATACCAAATGTAAGAAATTTTATAAAATATGATTATATGAAATTAGAACACCAAAATGGTTTAGGCTTACTTGTTGAAGATATGATTCTTGATTTGTAGACTTGTTTCCTCTGGTGCTCCTGCAATGGAAAGACCAGGATCTTCCTCTGCAATTCACACCACTCCCAGATTACAACCGTCGATGGGGCGAGTTGTGGAGTGACAGTTTTCTAACGCGTTGTGAATGCAGAGGGGACCTAGCCAAACTTATTAACCCTAGTTCCCTTTCCATCATGGGCCTATGAGTTAGACCTACACTGTTACCCACACTAATCAGTTTACAGATATCTAACCCCAAACAAAAGGATCACTTAATTAAATGAGCTTTATACTGCATCCCATATGAATCATGACTTAGCCCATTTTTATTAAACAAGAAAAACTACAATGGATTGAAGCTCACAATTACTATAAAAAATTCTAGAATCCTTTAAACTCCCAAATCAATACACCCCCTCCTAATAACTCTAACTAACGTTTAAAACAAAAAACAAAAACTCTAGGTAATAGGGAAGTGAATCCTTTAATGTTAAAAAAGACATGACATGGTCATATGAGCAATCATAATCATAGAGAGGTGGATCAATAGTGATAAAAGATGAGAGAGAGAAAATATTAAAATAGCTAGTTACTAAATCATGACCGTTGATTCCCTTTTGTATAGTTATGATTGTTCCATATGATCATGTCATATTTTTTTTTTAAACATGAGAGAATCTTTTTCCAGTTAAATTTTTTTTTGTAAGTGGGATAAATTTTTTAAACATGAGAGAATCTGTTTCATCACAATTATTTGGAAAAAAGAACGTTGCGTCAGTTAAATAAAAAGCATTAGAATCAATTTTGTTTCACAAGAGGCAATAAGAAATAATTAAGTATATTAAAACTTTTGCTTAAATCTCTTTCACTTTAAGCAAGATAATTAAGTTATAAATAATTGATATGATATGACTAATTTTAACATATAAATACTAGTAATGACACTCAAATTGCGCAAAAACAATGAATAGAAATTTACTTAAACACTGCAAGGAATTTTATTTCTTACGTTTCCATCTTAAATTGATTTTGTCACCAAAACCAGTCCTTTGATTGTAGTGTAATCCATAAAACGTGTACTTAACCATAAACCTTTCAAAAAGAATTCAAACTTTACCCACCCTTCTTTTATTATAAAAAAAAGGGTTTGTTTTATCTAAAGCTACTTTAGATAATTTTATCTAATGTTCATCGAAACGACGTCATTTTGGGACAGAAATCATGATGTTTTTGTAATTTTAATTTATTTCAGGGTTATAATAGTCTTTATCCTTCTAATTTTTTAATTTTTCAACTCCAAAACGACATCGTTTGGATGAACATTAAATAAAATTGTCAAGTAACATTAGATATTTTTTTCCCTAAAAATATATATATATATATATATATATATATATATATATATATATATAAAAGAAGCATATACACGAAGTTACAATGTTCATAATTCACGAGTATATATAAAAGAAGCATATACACGAAGTTACAATGTTCATAATTCACGAGTATATTTCTTTATATTTACAGTATCAATGTCTACAAACAGGCACAAGTTAAAAAATATTTTTCGTGTAAATAATTAACTGGTGTAAAATAATTCATAATATGGTGTATCTAAAAATAATATAAGAGAAATCCTTATCGATCAACATATTGCATAAACAAGGGTTAAAACATACAGAAAAAGAAAAAGAAAAAAAGTACATACAGAAGCTCTTGATTTTCTCGATAAGGAGAACAGTACATAATGTGAAGACGGTGATCCCCTAAATTTTGGTATTCGAGAAAGATACATGCATGTTACACTAAAATGTTCTTAATACGTATGCTAGAGTAACAATTTTTTAATGCAATCTTTCATCAGAATGTTGTTATAATTTACAGAACTTTGTCAGGTTGTTAACTGAACTAAATCCTTTCTCCAATCAGAAAATACGGAAGACGATTGCGACGAGGAAAAGAGGGCAACAATCCCAAAAATGGAACTGCATAAATCGTGGATTATAAGTCTTTTAAGCTTATCGTCCGTAACTTAAGGCGGGAACACAACTCATAACCACTAGAGAGCTATGTATGCTTCAGCATTAAAAGCAGTGATAGAATATTAGAACTACTCTTATTAGGCTGCAATTGTACAGTGGTACTACACTGGTACTTAAATTATTAATATAAAAAATAGGTTTTATGTACTTGTATCACAACTCATAACAAGAGTTTAATTATGAGTGACAGTCACTGTAAAAAAATCTACATTGTCATTCCAATTATGTTTTAACACAGCGTATCATTTAAAGATTTTGACTTCTATTGTAAATATAGTCAAAATCTTTTAATGATGTTACAACACATAAATGGATGATAGTGTAAAAAAGCTTTAAGTTGACAGTAGATCAACATTAAAACCATATCGTAATTATTCAGATTCCTGACTATACTTTTCCATCAAACGCCTATTATTTTCACATTTCTAGCCCAAATGTTTAAAACCACCGAGTACTTGTTTGGAAAATCTTTATTTTAGCTTCTCTTTCTTCTTATAAACAAAAAAAATAGACCAAACAGATTTTTACAAAAATTCCTTTTTTATTTACTAAAAAAATATCTTTTTTTAAATAAAAAAGGGCAAAAACTCCTGTAAGGAGTTTTTTGAAAGTTGTATCAACTTATTTTTAATTTGAGTTTTTAAGCTAAAAATTTTATACAATAATCAAATAGCTTTCAACTTTATTTTTCATTTTTTTTTTTTTAGCTTTAACTTAAAAATAGCTTTTACCTTTAAATAAAAATGAGACAAACATGCTACAAGTTAAATTATCCATTTGATGAAATTTTCAGGTGGCATACAAACAAATATCAGCCATGAGATCGATTTGCTGGTTGCTGCACTATTTACTATTTTCCTGATTCAGAGATGTTCTCTCTTTGGCTGTTAGACCTCCTGTTGTAGCAGTACTTTTCTTTATGCTAGTGAGAGAAGAATGTTCACCAGGATCACTGCAACATCCAACAGGTACCAATGTAACTTTTTTTAAGAAAAAAGACGAAAATGGCATGCTAAACATGAGTCATATGTGCAAACGAGAGGAATTGCTGACAAAAATGTTCAAAATTTATAGGCTGTTCAAGCCTCAATGGGGAATGCAATGAATGACAGAATTAAAAAAAAGGTGACATCAGATAACAGCATTGGCATGAAACTGAAGATAAATGGCAATGCTAGATATTAATAGACTACTGTATGAGGGTATTTAGCAGCAAGACTTCAATGAGTTGGACATATGTCCTCATGCTGCCCACCATGAGTTCACAAAAGGGCAAAAAAAAAAAAAAAAAACCAACAGAAATCAAGAGTGGTTTTAACTAAATGGCATAAAACCCAGACATACCCAATAATCTTCATGAATAATGACAAGAATCTGGAAATATAGTCTATAATAAGATGGTTTCAGGCAGGATATCAACTATGACGTAAAAATAAGGGATGTCCAAATAATATGCAAACAAAAATCAGAACTCCCCATCCGAAAAAGAAAAAAAACCCACTATGGGAGAATATTAAATGAGATTTGTTTAGACAGACAATGAGAATGTATAAAAGCAATTAGCCGGAAAAAAAAGTCATAGAAGACCTAATAAATGTGTTAGGAGTGTTACATAATTTGGGTTCAAGTGTACTTTTGAACAAAAACTAAACATGCTATAATTTGTTTGGACAGGCACAAAGAAGATAAAACTCATGAAATCAAAGCAAATACCAACCATAGTTTTGGGTTTTTGTCATGAAACAACTCTCCCAAAAGCTTAAACTATTAAATGAAGAGACATGAATGGTTTTGTATTATATTTCTAACACATCCCTTCATACAAGACCCCATTGCACAGGCCCACCTATCATCTTCTAAAATTCCACTCTTATTTATTTTTCTTTTCCGTCAATCTTTTCTTGCTTTTTATTTGGGTTCATTGACGGACAACCCCAATTAATTTTGGATAAAGGTGACGTTGATTGTGATGTAGAGAATGATGAAACAAGAATTGAACTATAGACCACTTAGTCATAGAGTTTCTAATACCATGTCATGAACTAAATCTTCCAAAAGCTTAAGCTGTTAGGCGAAAACACATGAATGGTTTTGTATTATGTTTCTAACACATTTCATAGACAATTCTTGGCAACAGACACATTAATTACAATGGAAAGTTACACGAATTGTTGGGAATTCAAGTCACATTCATTTGAAAATGACTAAGAAAGGACAACATAAGTGGAAAGATCCATGAATTTGATGTCTTAAGATTTTTGATTAAAATGTGCTGTCAATAGTTAAAAGTCATGTGGATGCAGACCAGAACAGTAGTTAGACAAGGACACTGATGTACAAGTTTGGAACCTCTCACTTTTGAAACTCAATATATGAACAATTGAACATGAAACACTTCAATTTACCACTCCTGATACACCTAAAAAGAAAAGACTAGAAAGTAAAAGTTGTCATCAAGTAAAACTCACCAGCGGCAGAAATTATTTTTATTTGAATCATCTGCCAGTATATCGTGCTTCTACACCAAAAAGTTAAATGACATTCTTAAGAATTGTTTCCACAAGAAACAGACTTAAGCAACAAGCAAAATTAAAGGGTAAAAAATGAGTTATCTTGCTTCTACCGGAAAGAGTTAAATGACATTCATAAGGATTGTTTCCACAAGAAACAGATTTAAGCAACATGCCAAACTGAAAGGGTAAAAAATGGGTATAGTCAAAATGAAGCTCAAAACATGGGATGTATTAATCCTGTCTTCTAGAAGGTAGAAAAGAATTTTGGCGATAACCTACTAGGTATTGATCTCACATCAATCATTAACAAGAAGAAAGCATACGTGAGACAATTAGTAACTTTAACAACCAAGGTTCTTGATGACAAAAATACTACACATAAATTTAAGGTAATACTGTTTGCTATTCCAGTCCCATTATGATCATCCAATTATTAGTTAACCTACACAAAATTCAAGGTACAAGTTATCCCAAAAGCTTAAGCTATTAGTAGTAGGCTAATAAATGGTTTGTACTTTTAATATGCCGCAGTTTGTAAAAGCCCTTTGGGCTTGAAGCTTGTACAGAGCACAAGTCTACTCAAGCCTTGTGCTGGAATATCTAATTCAAATAGAGAATCAAGGTATCCACGATCAAACTCTTAACCACTTGTCCAATGAGACTCTTATAACATGTCAAGAAGCCAACTCATCCCAAATTTAAGCTGTTAATAGATTAAGAATGGTTCATATCTCTAACACCAACAACCCTTAAAGCTTGAGTAAGCAAGAACAAAGAGGAATCTGACTTTGTTACTGTTTTTGCCACATGAGATTTATTTTCTCATCTCACTCATGAAAAACAAAAGAGAAACCTGGGCACAACATTTGGTATTGTCTCCATGTGACCCGAAGATCACAGGTCCAATTCATTTAATCAGCCTCTTGCAAATGCAAGGCTGCCTATGATAGACCCACACAACGTATATGACCCTTCCCTGAACCCTATGCATAGCAGGAGCTTTATAGCCCCAAGCTGCCATGATCATTCACAAAAAGTACTTACATGAACATGCAAGTATGACAAATAGTATGCAACTTTCGATACTTGAATGAATTTCCCACCAACCTTTGAGCTACATGTATCTTTGAGATTGGTTCTCGGGCATTTGAAATGTTGAACAGTACTACTAGTCACCGCATTTTTCAGATAACAAGCAGCAGCTCTTTTCGATTTACGGGTTGGCACGCATGATTCAGCCAGAGAACCCTTATAGCCCTCAGAATCACTACATGAAAGCAGGTTTCTCTCTAAAGTTTTTTCACAATGTTTTGATACACATTTTTGCAGTTTCTCAATTGTAGAGCATTCATGCAAACCAATTGATCCAGAACCAGACAAAGGCACATGTTTTCTCCTTTTTACTGAAGGAATATCAGCCCTCACAGTTTTAACGTTTGTTATTGCTCTCCTTGACAAATCGTCCGGTTTGCTACATGCCAAGTCCAGTACACCACAAATATTGATGTCAGGCTTTGGGACATCCTGTTGACCCTTGCGACCATGCTTAGGAAGTGATTTTGCAGGCTGATAGCAAAAAAAAAAAAAAAAAGGAAAACAAGGAAAATGAATGGCATCACCAAAAAGAATATGAAACAGTTGCAGCCTATCGTGTATACACCAAATATACCTTTTGAGCATATGCATGAGGGGCATTAGATTCAAGTGTGTGAAAGATGCTACGTAGAAAACTTTCATCAAAAAAGGACCTCGGACATTTTGAATTAGCCTGCCGTTAACAGATTCATCAAAAACAAAATTGCATGAATAAGACATAAAAACCAAATTGTATAAATAAATAAAAATTTAAAAAAATAATCTGATTAAATTTCTATGTGAAGCAAAGACAAGCCCTCAGAAAACTTACACTGTTCTTAGTGAGACTCACTCTATATAATGATGAAGGCAGCAAAACTTGTGCAGGGGCTTGCGATACAGAAGTTCTACTTTGATTTAAGGCATTTAAAGTAAATATTCCAATTTCAGCCAGCATGTGCAGCTTCTGCATTTCATGAAGCTAAAAATAAAACATATATACAACAAAAAGCAAGTAGCTACTGAAGAATGTGTTGAATATAGTTTACAGTAGTCATCTGCACATCAAAAGCATCCTCAACTTTTCTGATTGCTCTAAAAATACTAAATAGATGTACGACAGCGTCATTAACAAGGTCTAGGTCACCATCAACAATACTGGCATCAAGCAATGCCTGCAGGACAAAGAAAAGTGGACTGCAAAGAAGCAATCCAGATATGTCACCATCTTAGGCCATTTTCATATTGCCATAATTAGCAAAACTAAAATATTGCATTGGATAATAGCAATGTATTACCTACAAAGGTCAGCATACAGTTTTTCATCTTGACAGACATCAAATGGAAAGTCACTATCCTGAGCAAGCACGTGGATCAAGAAGACCAAAATGTATGCAGGGTAATCAATTATTGCTCCTTGAACAGCAGAAGTTTGTCGTTTACGAGCTACTATACTGTAATCCTTAATAAACTCTGCCATATATTTGTAGTTCTAAAATGAGCAGTATTAGTAACCATTAATTAGCACAAACATACATCAACCCACTAACAGAACAGGTTTTAAAAAATAAAATCATGAGAAAAAACAATAATGAGAAAATTGTAGGGGGGAAATAAAACACTACATCATCTTCTTTAACTAAGCTTATACGGGCACAGATAAAATTTGATAAGATTAACAAATTTTTACATGCCCATATGTTGAGTCATATATTCATTGGAGCTAAGAGTCACCTATTCTAGCATTGTGAGGTAGTTTGCCTTTGGTGGAGTAAGTTGTTTAGGCCAGTAGAGCATTGGATATATCCACCAAATTTCGAGGTCATTCTTTCAATCCAATATCAGAGGATTTGAGAGAAACAGGAGAGTAAGACACAATGGAATTGTAATCTTTAAGCTGGTTTTTGCTGCATTGAAATAGAGTGAAATGCTAGAATTTTTACTATACCTTTTTCCTTCACCTCTTTTGTAGGACACGCTTGTTTTCCTAGTCTCTTTGTGGGTTTCAGTACAAGGGTTTTTAAGGGCGTTCCTTTGTTAATTATGCAAAGGAATTGGTTTTCCCTTTGGGTCAATGCTTTCTTTCATGTTTCCTTTTCTTCTTTAGGAGGATTTTTTATCCTCAGTTTTTGTACTTCTTTTTCTCTTTCGAATCTCAATGAATTATTTTATCATAAGGAAAAGCAGAAACTGCTCTCAAGTGTCTCTGAAGAAGTCTTGGTCTCAGAACCAGTTTATGTAAATGGAACAATGTAACATAGTTTCTGAAGGAGGTCAGAAAGCTGGAACATCTGGCCTAGATACTGGGTGTTGAACAACATCATCTTCAATTAGTAATAAGTATTGCATGCTGCCCTTTGATTCCTGTTTTAACACTTTCGCAGTACAAGTCTATTGTTCAGAAGAAGCTCTTCCCACAGAACAGAGTTAATTCTGATATGTAGTGGTAGAAGAATTACATGAAATTCCTCTCTCATCTCTCGTAAGTCCAGACTCCGGAGAATCCTGTTCTCTGGCCCTCACTCCTGCTGCTAACTGAATAACTGCCTTCTCAGGCGGTCCCTCTGTCCTATTTATGTCCTAACTAAATAATTGTTTGGGAACTGTACTAACTAACTCTGCTAACTAATCTGTTTGGAAGCAGCTCAATAAGCCACCCTTTCTTCCTCTGTTTGGGACTCAATAAGTGGTCTCCTTCTAGCATAGGCCCGGTGATAGCGGATGAGCTAAACTAACATTTTCTTTATCAAGATACAAGAAGAGATTAGCACGAAACAGGAAAGATAATGATATCAATCATAATTTGGGGGTGCTGAAAGGTACATTCTAGTGGGGAGAGTGCAGAGATGACAAATGGAGAATATTTGGGGCAATGCATAATAACAAAATCAATGAAAACAAGGGTGCACATGATGTTGGATGCAGAGAAAGCTACAAGATATGCTGGAGTTCCCTTAGTATTCCCTATAGGTTGAACCAGAGTTGATGGGTGAACATCAATTATGACATCGAAATTGCATATTTAATAGGACCTAGGAAACATAAGACATAGAGAGAGCTGCTACCTCTGTAATTTATTTAAAGGCCAAATAAGCAACAAAAGTAATGTAATTCAACATGAATCAAAAATTATAAAAAAAAGAAAGTAAATATCACATCCATAAAAGACATTGTACATGATATTGCAGATCCTCGCTGCCATCTGTCGCTACCAATGCAAAAGCACAAGCAAATCTGATAGGTAGTTTACGCTCCTTCAACAACTTTTGTGTTTTACTAAGAAATTTGCTCCGAACAAAAGAAGAAGAGTCCTGGAATATGAAAGGAGATGGAAAAGTTGATATAAATAATATAATTGACTTGAATAGAAAAGAGCTGAATAATATTTTTCTGAATTACCACTGTATATGATTTCATTACAATACATAGTCCTGGCTAAATAATTATTTACCGAAAATAAAGCCTAATTTACAATAACAAATAATCTTAATAACAACATAATTTACAGTAATTACAGGGAATATCACGTTTTAGTGAATGTGGGACTATTAGAACTTTCTCCCTCTCAAGTTGGTGAATGAATATCTATCATTCTCAGCTTGTGTAACATTATGAAATCTCTAAGAGAATAATCCCTTAGTTAATATATCTACCAACTGATATCCCGAATAAACATATGTTGTGGTTATCAGTTCACTATCAAATGTCTCTATGATGAAGTGTCTGTCCATTTCAATGTGCTTACTTTTGTCCTTTAATTCTAAACCAAATTATGTGCAATCCTAATAGTTGATTTGTTGTCACAATAGTTTCATATATTGTGCAATCTCGTATGATAGGTCAAAATTCAGCCTTTGCACTTGACCGAGCAACCACATTTTGTTTCTTACTCCTCCATGTTACTAGGTTTCTATGCATAAACATACAATAACAAGATGTTGACCTCCTGTCAATAACAAGATGTTACTAGGTTTCTCAACTTCCAGAATGTTGGTCTTCCCCTAAAGTAAGGACAGGTTAAAAAAATTCATTTTCATGGTGACATCCATGGAAACAAAGTAATGACAACTTGAAGGGTAATAGTATTTGCACCCTTTTTGTCAAGAACATAAACCAAAAAATATATATTTGCAGAAAAGAGCAATGAAAGAGCAAAAAATGAATAAGACCACATGAAATGAAAGCAAATGTTGCAATGAAGGCAGGCTTGGAAAGAATTGCAGAAGCAGAGTCTCCTAGATCGAGAGATCTAATACTAATTTAAATATAAAAGAGCTTAATATTATATTCCTGAATTAGCATTTTACATGCTTTCATTACAATATATACAGATGGCTAAATAATTACATACCTAAAGTTAAGCCTAATTTTCGATAACGAATAATTTTTCCTAATAACAATTTTTTTTTACCAAAATTACAACATTTAAGGGGAATATCATGTTTGTGTGGATGTGGGACTGTTAAAACATTCTATTTCTACTTCCGTCATTGGAAACTAAGATAAAATGCATATTCATTATACTTTCCAATCCTGCTGAATTATTTAAAATGTAGAGAGTCCAATATTACATACCTTCGCAATCAAAATAGTGAAGCGAAAAATCTCTGGAGTAATACGTAAATCCCACTTCTTAGCAAGACGAAGAATTGCCTTTGCAGCAGCTAATCTAATATGAGCCTTATCATTTTCACTACACAGTAAATAAAAAGAAAGATTTATTAGCAAGTTCAATGCATGAATTTTTGTTTTTGTTTTTGTAGGGGAGTTCAATGCATGAATTTGAATAGTTCAATGTGCGCGCGCACGTGCAGATAGGTTAGACTTTTAGTTATTAAGAACATCACTTAAACTAGCCACTAATCGAACTTAGTAAGGTCTTTTACAAAACAACGATAATCAACTATAGATTGTTTAACAAATAATTTAGAAATTCATTAAGAAATCCTTAGTACGTAACTCTTATTCTAAATGAAGCACCTGAGACGCACTAAGTTTATAGAAATGAAAAGGTATGATACCGGGATTTCGTATACAAGAGCAAAATAAGATGATGTAATTATGTAAATGAGCGAAAAAACACTTAGATTATTTTTTGGGTACAATGACAGCATGGAAGTTTAAACTAATGACCTTCTTCAAACTACACAAACCAGTTTAAATCATGTCAGCTAGTATCATTAGACAGTTTATATTTCATGTCGCCATTAAGATTTTATGCTTCACGTCAGCTAGTCTCATTTGACAGTATAAGTCATTATAACTTCAATTTTTTTAAGTTGATGAGGAATGAAAGTAAAAGCATTGTATATAAAGCTAATGCTTACAAAAATTTCACACAAAAAAAGTAAAAAGTAAAAAATAAAGGAAATAACTATAAAAGTCATACCATGAGCCTGTATCTGTACTAACAAAATTATCACTTTCGCATATCATTCTTGACAAAATGTCCAGCAATCCATTAATATTCTGTTTGACGTGGTTCCCTTGATAAGGCAAAGAACTCCTTACCAGTGTTTTCAGCCCATAAATCTGCAAAATCAGGATGCAAGAGAAATTACAAAGCCATTATCAAAGAAATACTTAAAAAATTTCCCCATTAGTACTAAATGACCCTCATCCCATATATTGCACTAAAAAAGAGGTTTACTATGCGAACCTAAACACCTGCTTTCAGTTCTCTTTAAAATGTAAAAACATAAAAAAGGCATCGGCACTGAACATTAAGTCCAAAGCCAAAGGTGTAGTGAAGTATAAATAAATTACTCTGCAAGTTTGGGAATAAACTATTTTGGGGAAATAATCATTTTTTTCCAAAGCTCTCTCAGATGCATTTGATTCAAAGCTAATTTGGCCCCAAAATAAATTCCTTTGCTTTCCACAACCCTAAATATTTAAAGTGACTGGCATTATAAAATTGAGTAAGTAGATGTAAATAAAATACGATGTCTCGGTGTTAGATAATAACTCTATGGGCATTAAAGTTGTTAGAGTTAGAGAATTAGTTTAAATAGCAAGAAAATGTAAGGGGAAACCCTTGGAGGAGATTTCTCTCCTCATTTCTTTGTTTGTAATTGAGATACAGAAGTTGCTCTTTTTCTCTCAATTTTCTCAATTTCTCCGCTCTTTCACTCTAAAATTCAGAAGCAATTTATAGGTTCTTAACACACTGGGGAAACTAGTTGATTTTTGGAACAAGAAAAAGAAAATTCAATACATGGACATGAGATTCAAGTATTCAACATGACACAAACACAACAGCATAGCAAATTATATTCCCCCATTTTGAAGTTGATATCTACAGCTAGATGAGAACTACTGAATTTAAATACACTATTGGATTCCTCTTACAAACCTTTAATTGACAAGATTTGCTACATTGAGAGGTATCATGAAAGGATGTCGCACCATGACCATCATCCAAGTGCTCCATCTAATCAAACATGTAACTCACCCCATGAACAATTCTAGCAGCTGAAACACTTTTGCAGAATATCAACATTGTTCTGGAAGAATAAATTAAACAAGCAAGACTACATATGGTTAAATTCAATTACTTGAATAATCTTCTGGCATATATATGATGTGATCTCTTCATCTCGAGTTTCAAAAGTTGAAACAGAGTATTGTGCAATGCATCCCAGAGATTGCAAAATTGTTGGGACATTCCACTGGCTATACAAAGAATCAATTAGTTCCTGGGCACACACACAAGAACAGAAAGAGATTGTGTCAGTTGTCATTACTTAGAAGGAAATCACCAATTATTTATAAATGCCTCAAATTAGCTAAAAATGTTATCAGACAGAATGAATATCAATGTACGGTGGTTTAATCTTTCATTAATCAATGAAGATGCAAATAGGTGTGCAAGATAACTAGTGGTGCTGGTGTTGCTAGTGCCTCTGGCTCTTCACGCACCAGCCCATCGACCACTAGCCGACGCAGCATATCGTGTTCCAGTTCAATGGAAAACCCGAGTGCAGCCTAAATTTTCCAGATCTAGCCTCTCCGTTGTTTGTCTCTTTCCCATGCCAACATAGGAATGAGGATGAGAACTTTGTAAGACACTATGCCCCCAATCGAGCCTCTCCCTGTTCTCAATACTTTTTGTTCTAAGTTTTTTTTGGGTTGTTGCTTCTAAGTGTTGTTGTTGATGAACATGAACTTAGAGGATAAGTTTTAATTCTTGTTCTGCATAATTGTTTGTTAGGATATTTCCACTTATTATCATTCCAACAAAATCTTTTCTTCCTTGGTGATGAAACGTTTCAACTTTCAACCAACTATTCTGGCTTATGATCATGCCAATCATTTTGCTAAGCTGCCTTTCCAGCCATGTTTTATGCAGCCCACATTATATTGTTTGGTTATTTTTTTATTTTTAAAAGGCATACATTTTTAACAAGCTTAAAGCTGAGAAAGCTTTAAATTGAAGGAGAGGATTGAAAAACATGTCTATATTCATTATATATACTTGACTAGTTTCATTATAGTGTCTGTGTTCATACTTGTCTACGTTCATCTTCCCTTCTTACCTCTTTGGTTATAAACACTCTGTAGTGTAGTTGAGATACACGAATTTCCTCTGAAATTCAACAGTGGATAAAGTACGATTGGGAACCTAAATATTGAAGTGAACAAAAACAATACGAGAGGGAGCTCAACTACAATCTCTATCAGGATATAAGCCACGGGTGTGTTTCCCTAATCATTGACTCAAAAGGAAGCCTAGACAACTTGGAGAGGTTCTGTACCATTCTCTGCAATTTTGCATGCGTAGGGTGAACTAACAGAGCATGGATTCTAATTGGGGAATGCAGGGTAAACATGAAAAAGGTTGGAGAGCTGGTAGAGGACAACGAATTCACATCTAGAGTCAATTTATCAGACCCAAATTTTGGTCATGCAAAACAACAGAGTAATTAGTGAAGGTAATCAAATAATCAAGAGAATGCGACAAACAACAAATAGAAAGTTAATTGAATGGACAACCAAGAACATAAAGTATAGAATCAAAGAACAAAGAAGGGTGGGGATGAGTCGTGCCAATCCCATGTGATTGTACTTAGGAACAATCATTTTTTGAGCAAAAGGAAATAAAAAATTGTGATTTAGTTGGGCATGCAATACAATATTTGTTTTCCTCCACTAAAGTTACAAATATATTGCTGGAAGTAGCATCCAAACAAAAAAAGTGTACCTCAAATAAGTTTAAGAAAACAGAATGCTCGGAACTAAAGGTAGCAATTGCAGAGACTGCAACTTTGGCCTGTCTGCGAGTTCCACCCAAGCACATTCTCTCAAGAAACGGATAAATAACACTGCAAAGTAAAACACATTAACTAAATTAGAATTTGAACAAAAGATTAGTTTACTTATAATCAAGAGTTAATTCAACGCTAAAATTTCTCCATTGAGAAGCAGATATTCAACTTAACTCCAATAAATTCACTACCTTAATCATAAAATAATAAAAGACATGTCCATTTAAGAGATGGGTTAGGCGCGTATTCTCACGCGTGCGAATTTTCTTGTTCTGCTAGGGTTCATTCATCGTGATTTTTTCTTTGAAGCTTTTCTTAATGGGGGAAGTGATTTCCATCAATAGTGAACTACTGTCCATGTCAAGAAGGAGCACTAAGCGAACCAAAAATGGTGAGGAGATTCCAACGGAAGCACGGATGAGGGAAGCACTGAAGGAGTACCAGTCTGGACCTTCAGTGATCGAAAAACAAAGATCATTTGCAGAAGTAACGGGGGTGGAGAACGGAGTGTCAGGAGATGCCTTACCCTGGTTAATCGAAGAGGAAGAACCAGATCTGGAACCTCTGGACCTATGCATGGGTGAGATCTCATAATGGGGATTCCAAACAGTGATAAGGGAGGATGGCTCAGTGGAAATCAGGAGTAATAAAGAAGCTAGAACAAGGATGCGACAGCGCTGGAAGAATGCTCTGATAGTAAAGTTGCTGGGAAAGAAGGTAGGGGTCGGATTCATGAAGAAAAGATTGGAGTCTCTGTGGGCTAAGACGGGAAGCATAACGGTAGCGGATCTTGGAAATGAGTTTTACTCAGTAAGGTTTAGTAGCCTAGAAGATCTAAACCTAGCCATCACGGGTGGTCCCTCGGTCATCTTAGGCCATTATCTTGCAACGAGGAAATGGGAGCCATGCTTTGATCCTGACAAAGCCAACATTCACAAGATGGCAGCATGGGTACGACTACCAGGTATTCCTCAAGAATATCGCGAATTTCCGATCCTTAGTCACTTGGGATCTGTTATAGGAAAAGTTCTGAAAGTGGATAAAACCACTTCTACTGGGGACAGGGCTAGGTTTGCGATAGTATGTATAGAGATTGATCTCTCGAACCCTTTGAGAGGGGAGTACATTCTTGACGGGTGTAGGAAAAAAGTTGAATATGAGGGGTTATTTTTTATTTGTCTCAAATGTGGGAGATATGGCCACAATTCGGACTCTTGTCCAGATTTTGCTAAGCCAGCATCGACACCCAGCCCTGAAGAAGCTCAGGAACAGCCTTTGGAGAACCCTGGTCCTCAAGGTGTTGGACCTTGGATGGTAGTGCAACGCAAGAAGAAAGGCCCCCAAAATTTCCAGAAAATGGAAAATGGTAACAACAGAACTTTTAGAGAGGATTTATCCAACAGAAAGTACCTGGTTGGTCCAAAGTCAGTGTTGAAAAGTGAGAAATCCACTCAAAAAAAATCTTTCTGATAAGAATTCTGAGGCTGGTACTTCCAATTTGAAGGTTAACAAGGAGAATGACTCAGTGGATAAGAAAAGCCGACCCCCAGCTGAGGGGATGAAGTTTACAGCAGTGGCTTCTACTACTGCTAAGAAAAATCCAGGAACAAAATCAATTGTGCCAACCCCAAAGAAAAGTCTTGTTAAGACTCAAAGTGCTAAAGGAAAAGGAACTATTGTCAGTTCCCCTGCTAAACTCAGTTTAAGCAATAGCTCATTGCAAAAACCTACTCAGAATCCCTCTCAATTCCCTCTTGGGCAAGAGAAAGGCAAACTATAGGGAGACTTGATGATGGCTGTGGAAGTTTCTTCTGGAGAGGGTAACCTTGATGGTCTTAGTAGCATCAATCTTGTTGTCAGTTTGAATGGTAATGACACAATGAAGGATCCTAACCCCCCTGATCTTGTTATGGGAGAAGAAGCAAAGATGGTGGAAGCTCAATCAGGTATGGACTTGGAATCTTCCCTATGTGCTAACCTTAATAATGCTATGATTGTTAGTAGCTCAGGGTGTGATGAGGGAGAAGCTGGAAGGCAGGAAATTAATGTTGAGAGTCAAGTTTTGAGTAGCAAGAACTCTGGAATCTTGCAACAACCCAAACCTCTCAATGAATGTCCTAACCTGGAACTGTAGAGGTGCTGCTAAGAAACAGTTTAAAAGCACTCTCAACAGATTTCGAAGGAAGCACAAAGTGGGGTGGCTGCAATCTTAGAGCCAAGAGTTAGTGGTAAGAAAGCCATTAGCATAATTCGTAGCTTGGGATTCTCCAACTACATTATTGCTGATGCAAAAGGTTTTGCTGCTGGGATTTGGATAGTGTGGAATCCCATTGATATGAAGATTTCTCTTCAAGTTACTCATGATCAATTCATCCATGTTTGGGTGGAATTTCCGGGCAAAAAAGGCTTCTTCTGGACTGCTGTATATGTCAATCCTCAAGAAGGGAATCGTAGGGTGTTATGGGAGGAATTGAAGCAAATAGGAAAAACTATGAATGAACGCTGGATGCTATCTGGTGACTTCAATGAAATATCTTCAGCTTCTGAGAAGAGAGGAGGGGAGCCAGTGATTATAATTGTTGCATCAGGTTTAATAATGTGCTGGATGCTTGTGGTGTTATGGATCTGGGGGGTGGGGGAAATAGGTTCACTTGGAAAGGACCTAAATTTCTCCATCTAGAAAGAGTTTATAAAAAACTAGATAGAGCAGTATCTAATGATGAATGGAGAGCAAATTTTGAGGAGGCTGATGTCCTAGTTCTGCCTAGGCTTTTTTCTGATCACAGCCCTATCCTTGTTAGATTGGAGAAGGAGGAGACCAGCTGGAGAGAGAGGCCTTTTAGATTTTTGGCCACTTGGCAGAATGATCCAAGATTTAACCATTTCCTTAAAGAAAACTGGAACCAGACAGCTAGCTTGCTGGAGAGTGTGAACTCTTTTATTCCTTTGCTAAAGGAGTGGAATAGGAACATTTTTGGATTCACTCATTATAGAAAGAACAGAGTGATAGCTCGTATGGAGGGTATTCAAAGACAGTTCAATTCCAGGAATAGTTACCAGCTTGAGGAGTTGGAAGCTAAACTGAGGAAGGAGCTTTCTGAGATTCTGGATCAGGACGAACATATATGGTATCAAAAGTCCAGGGGTGAATGGATCAGAGATGGTGATAGAAACACTCGTTTTTATCACACTAGTACTCTGATTCGTAGGAAAAAAACAAAATCCTAAAACTCCAGGATAATAAAGGCTGCAGGGTGACTGGAGAAGAGGATCTTATTGCCTTAGCCAGAGGATTTTTTCTCGAATTGTTCAAGGAAAATATTGATGATCTAGTTTGGGTGACAACTAAAAGCAGCTGGCCAGAAATAAGAGAGGAACAACTTGCTAAGCTATCTCTGAATATTTCCTTTGAGGATGTCAAAAAGGCATTTTTTCAAATGCCTCCTCTCAAAGCTCCTGGACCAGATGGACTTCCAGCCATGTTTTATCTAAGGAATTGGGATTTTTTTAAAACCCAAATATTCAACAGTATTCAATATTATCTCCATCATCCAGATCAGATCAGAAAGGTAAATCATACCCTCATTGCTCTAATTCCTAAAGTTGACAGGCCTTGTTTGATGAGGCAATTCAGGCCCATTGCCTTATGCAAATTTGTTTATAAGGGTCTCAGTAAGATCCTAGTCAACAAAATCAAACCTGTCCTAGGGAACATTATATCCCCAAATCAAACCAGTTTTGTTCCAAAGAGACACATACAGGACAACATCATAATTGCTCAGGAACTTATTCATTCTATGCACAGGATGAAAGGCAAGAAAGGTTATTTCTCTATCAAAATAGATTTAGAGAAAGCTTATGACAAGCTCAACTGGAAGTTCATAAGAGCAGTCCCAGAAGATCTGAATTTTCCTGAAGATTTGACTGGTGCTATCATGGGTTGTGTTACTAGCCCTTATCTTGAGGTTCTATGGAATGGAGCAAGAACTCAAGGTTTTCAGCCTCAGAGGGGAATAAGACAAGGGGATCCTCTACCCCCTTATCTTTTTGTTTTATGCATGGAAAAACTCACCCACTTAATTATGGATGAAGTGGAAAAGAAGAATTGGATCCCAATCAAGGCTGGCAAATCTGGTCCTTTTATATCTCACCTTCTGTTTGCAGATGATATCATCCTCTTTGCTGAAGCTTCCCTTAGTCAACTGAACAGTATTATCAACTGCTTGAAGATGTTTTCTAGCATGTCAGGTCAGTGTGTGAGTATAGAGAAATCTTGCATTTTCTTCTCTAAAAATGCATCTCAGGAGGCTGTGGATGAGATTTCTAAGGTTAGTGGTTTTAAAAAGGTGACCTTGGTCGGTATCTGGGAGTTCTGATGAGGCATGGAAGAATAGGAAAGGATCACTATTCTAAAGTGATTAATAGAGTTCAAAACAGACTTCAAGGCTAGAAGTCCAAGTGCCTATCTCTAGCAGGCAGAATCACTTTAGCTAAAAGTGTAATCTCTGTCATTCCTTGCTATCAGATGCAGAATAATATTCTGCCAGTTCATGTATGTCAAGATATTGAAAAACTGCAACGCAATTTTATTTGGGGAGACTCAGAGTCCAAAAGGAGAGCTCATTATGTAGCCTGGGATCAGTTGTGCTGTCCAAAGGAGTGTGGAGGCCTTGGTATTATCAATTTGAGGATTCAGAATGAAGCTTTTAAACTTGGCAGTTCGTTAAGGATCAAGATAGTTTATGGGCCCAGGTTTTGATTGGCAAATATAGTAGAAAGCAGAATCCTAAACGTAACCTGATTGCTAGAATGAGTGACTCTACTCTTTGGAAGAATATTTGTACTGCCAAAGAGAAGATTGCTCATCATCTGGAGTGGGAGATTGGCAATGGTAAGGATACTTTTTTTTGGACAGATGTTTGGGGAGTTGGGCAAAATAATCTCTTTGAGATGGCTTCACCCAAACCTCCCAATTCTGATTTAGATCTTAAAGTATATGAACTTGTTGATTTGAGTACAGGGGAGTGGAATTGGAGTTATCTGATGAATTTTCTTGAGCCATCTATTTTAAGTAAGATAAAAAGCATTCCTCCTCCTAATTCCAGCAAACCTGATGACTGGTTGAACTGGAAAAATAGAAGTCCTGGTTCATCTCTTGTGAAGAATGCCTACTGTCAGATGATGAATTTTGGCAAAGGGAAAGATAAAATCTGGACTACTATTTGGAAGTGGAGAGGGCCTTATAGGATTGCTGTTTTTATATGGTTGGCTTGCCTAAACAAATTACCTGTTAGAAGCATAACTTGCCAATGGGGTGGATGGGAGATTAATTGCCCAATTTGTTTCACTGATAAAGAAACTATAATACACACACTCAGAGACTGTAAAGCTGCAAGAAGTATATGGGAAGTTTGGTTTGATGGGATAGTTCCTATTAATTTCTTGAGTATAGATGAGGCTGGAGTGGTTTAGGCTGAATTTGGATAAACCTTTCTCAACCGATCTCTGGAACTCTTGGAAAGAAGTCTTTTTTGTAACTTGCTGGTTCTTATGGCAATGGAGAAATGCCTCTGTTCATGAGGATCAATTTTCTTGGCCTCTTGATCCTGTTCACAGAATTCTCAGCTACCTTGCTGATATAAAGAAGTATAACACTTCTGATCCTCTCATACCTAGGCCTGTCTTTCCCTTTTGTTCTGTTGTCCCTGATCAGAATGAAATGCAGGATGCAATCAGAATCTATGTTGATGGAGCAGTTAGCTTACATTCCAGTATAGGAGTTTGTGGTGGTTTTATATGTTCATATAATGGTGATTGGCTGGGAGGTTTTTCTCTGAAGATAGGAGTTTGCTCTCCTTTAGAAGCTGAATTATGGGGAATCTTGCATGGCCTATAGCTTGGAGGTGTCAGAAAATATTTGAAAATTTGGCTTGGATGTGATAGTAAAGAAGCCCTCCTCTGTATAGATGATCAAGCTGATCCTGGCGGTTTTGTTTCCCTTAGCAACAGAATCAGGAATACTGCTAATAGTCTTGTTCAAATCCTTTGGAATTTTACTCCTAGGGAGCTGAATGATTGTGCAGATACAGATAGCTTAGCAAAGTTAGGTTTTAAACAGAAGGGTGAAGAGATGTTGTTTTATTCCTCTCCCCCTGATAGCATTTTACCTGCTTGGAATTCCTTTTGTTCAAACTTACTGGTTGAGCATGCTACTTCAAACATGCAACGGTTATTAATATAGTTTCTCTGGGCTAGGCCCTCCATTAATATCAAAAAATAAAAATAAAAATAAAAAATTCAAATAATTTAACCAACTTTACATCTTGTGAAGCCCCAAAATCAGTATTACCCTAAAAAGGGGGAAGATAGACCAATTTTTGAAAATCAACGAGCTAAAAAATTATATATGAAATATGTAAAAATTACTAGGAGTCTTGAACCAATACCCCACAAACTGCATCGCAAAGGAATTGAGACATCTGTCCTTTTAACAAAAGCATTATGGACTAAGGCATTAAAAAAAATTAGTTTCTTTTACAAAATCCATTCAAAGTAAAACAGATACATTACGTGCCGTACAAATATTATTTGAAATAGTAAGGACTAAATGGTAAATTTTGTTAAAACAGACTTTCTACTGCTTAATTTTGTTAGAAACATGGTTTCATGTCTTTCAACATACATACAAGAAACAAAGAACCAGAAATTACCTGAGGTTGAGAGAAATATGAGAGCCTGCCTTTGTTATAACCTCCATCAGCTTATCACTAACAGGACTTTCATGCTCCAACAACATTTGCAATTGCTTTTCAAAGCCTTTCAGCATTGAGGGGAACATACTAACAATAGCCTGATTCAAGTAAAATGGCAGAACAATTAATCGAAGAATCTACATTCAAAATCTAAAATAAATGAGAGGCTTCCTTCAATTTGGCTACCATAGCTAAAATAAATCTAAAAATCTTAGTAGTCATCAAATCACTTCACATTCAAAATCTTCATTACTTTTTGAACTAATTACTTTAACATAAAGACTTAGACATTGCTAGAAAATACGCAAACACACACACATCAAAACCATTACTGAAACCTAGTGGCTTGAGCTGTTATGTTGAATAAGTTATTTCACGAGGTATCCAAACCCCTTTGTTCCGCAACATCCAACTAAGATGCACATATAAATGGACATGTATCATATCCCAAAATAAAAAATCTAAATCCTTTTAACATGTTTTGATGCTTTTTTTAATGTTTTTTTTACATTTTATTCAGTTTACGTGCATTTCAAAATGTTTCTTAACTTTTTTTATGTGTCTTGTTGCATTTCTAGATGTTTTGAAGTATGTTTGAAACATTTCATTTCAAGAGGTCTAAAATATATTAACATGTTTCAAGTTTCCACCCCCTTCGATTATTACCCAAAATTTTATAACCAATAGAAATTCCCGAAGGCAGGGCAGCAACATTACGGCAGTTGTACAAACAATATGCACACCTATATCCCACAAGTTAAATACAAATATGACAGCAGAAAGCACATATCACTGCCTCTTAGGTTTAGCCACCCTTATTTTCATTCTAGTATAAATTTCAGCATAAGACAGTTAAGGATCTATCACAATAAACATATCAAAAGCATTCTTAAGCCTCATTATAGCATAAGCTTTTAGGATGAGTTAATTCTTTGGCAGACATAATCACAAAAACAATCACAATAAAAGATCATGACTGAATGCACTTGAATACACTTCCCATTGTTCAAACTGTCCTTTAATTTCCAGATTATAGAAAAAGAAAAAATAATAAATAAACAATGTTTGAAATAGCTCTGATTTCTGCAATAGAGAGAAATGCTTTTGCGAGAATTAATTTTGGTATAATCAATTTCTTGTTTGCAAATATCATCCAAAAAGCACGAAAAGTTAATGTCCTTTGTTCAACTGATATTATGAAAATTTATTTTACTTTTTAGCGTTGAAATCAAATAGCCAAGAAGATTTCATGTTTGGTGTTTACAATATTAACAAAGGACACTTACAGAGGTAAACTAAACAGACTAGATTTGCAACTTCAGTCCAAAGGAGAAGCAACTATTCCATTGGAGAGTATAGTCTGCCTTTGCATTAACCAAAGTTTACCCAAAGACTAATTATTTTTTCTACCAAAAAATAAATACCTCCCGTTGAAAAGTGAATACCAAAAGCTCGCCCCAAACACCACTAAAATAACAGGCTTCCCAAATCCGTTTTGTACTACTTCATACAAAACATAACAAACAAAGGATATCAGCCTCAAGTAATTAAGGTTAATTCCCAAGGAATATAAGGCAGTTACATTATATGGTTCATGCATTGTCATTGACATTCCTTCCTTCACCAATTGATAATTATCTTTCTTTTTTATTATATAAGCTACCCAAAACAAATGAGGTCATAAATCAAGGACTCAAGGGTGTAAACTATCTAGACGTTCTTTACGACTTTGGCTTATAAATTATGACTAAATTGCAAATACTACCACATGAACCTCACTTCAAATATTTTGCAGCAGGATATATACAATAACAGGAAAATTAACAGCATGAACAGATTATGCCATCACAGTTTAGGTTAGCTACCTTTGTTGGAATGCTTCACAGGTCATTGTGACACTCTAGTATTTTGGGTTGTCTAGTGCCTAATTTTATTTTCATGCAGCAGGGTTAAATGATTTATTCCCTCCACCACAACCAACCCCCTAGCCAAAAAAGAAGAAAAAGACACCAACCAACTAAAAGAAAGTATAGATCCACTAAGCAGCTAGTTTTGTTACCAGAAGAAGATTTGCAGAAGAATCCTTCCAGTTCATAGTTCCACTTTCACTATTGGAAAGATAATCTAAGATACACTGGACATGCTCTGAGCTGAAAATGTTGGATGAACATTTGGAGAAGAGTAAACGTAAAAACTCATAATTTGGATTGTTATCTCCAATCATTACCAGAAGATCATCCTGAAAAAAGAAAAAGGAGATTTAAAATGGGGAAAATGCATGGTTAAACAAAGACCAAAAATAACCACAAGGGGAAAATTTATTATGGAAATAATCCAGGGAAATATGGAACAAGATTTATAGAAGAATTCAAGAAACTTAATGAAAAAAAATTGATTACGTATACTCAAAATATAGAGTATATAATATCTATTCTGAATGCAATTCAACTTATAAGTGCAGTCACAAATCATAGTCATACAATACAACATGCCAGGACCATAACCAGCAACGTCAAAATCCAAGAAGCCAAACAGAAAGAGTTCAATTCAGCTACTATATTGATATGTTATATGACAAAATACATGCAACCAAAAGGATCAAAGGCCAACAAACTAGCTATATATCTACAAGCTAGCAGGACATGCAACATCACCTAACAAATTTCAAACATATAATAGTTCTCAAATAACACTTAGACAAACGGCTGATACAGAATATTTTATGCATCAAGAAAGAAAGTCAAAACAAGCAACATAATTGGATAAACAAACAACATACTTTAATGGCTTGTCCAATTGTGAAAGTTTGTTCCTCCAACAATCTTTCAAGTGATTTAAACACATTATTATCTTTAATTTGGTCTAACTTATGGAGGCACTCTTCAGCTTTGTGAGAATCTGGGAAGAATGCTGCCATTTTTGTAAACATACTTTCAATCTTCTTCTGTATTTCTTCAGAACAAATTTCCTGAAAAAGTTATAAAGCTCCATTACTTTTGAGCTACCAAATCATGGTCAGAAATCATAAAAGTGCCTAAGTGCTACATGCTGACCCGATTCTTTAGTATTGAAAAAAAAACATTACGTAAGAGTAAAATTTGAGTCAATGAAGTAAGATTTTTACACCATAAAACAGCAAACTGTAAGTCTTACTCTCAAGACCCTCATGACTCTCCTACTAGCAACTTCATTCTTGTTCCATATTGTGTTACAGAAAAATCAAGCTTCATAAATACCCTAATTATATGCACAAGTTTGTGATATCAATCTCTCAATCTGTCCCGCTGCAATTACAACTCAATCTAATCAAATATTAATTTGTAATCAATGTATCTTCTACACGGCCTTCATCACCTATATACTAAAACCTTATTAGAATATTCCACCTATTGCTAAACAACAAAATGGGCCAAAAGTGGAGTCCCTCCTTATGAGTAAAATCACTCAATCATTGTATTTGTACCTTCAATGTCTTCCGCATAGCCAAATAGTTTTTCATTTCATTTTGCAACCTGAAAAAAGAAGAAGGAAATATTTGTTAATAATACTCCACTTTCATCCTATTCACAGTAGCATGTTGGTTTGGTACCTTCTCTTTTGAGTCAAAATAGCATTCAGTGACATTTCATGAAGGGAACTGAAAAGTGAAAACATGTGTATCCAGTGCTTTGTCCTTTCCTCAGCAGAAAGATGCTCAGGAAATAAACCATCAGCAAGAACAAATTCCATGTTCTGTGACCTGAAATTCTATGAAAAACGTTTACTTCTGATAAGAGAACTCTAATTTTGATTCAACTAGCAATCTTAGAGTGCATGAGCTGACCTGAATTCCTTACAATCTTTATCATAGCAAAGCATCACAATTTTACATGGAATATCTTCGAAGTGATCACTAAATGTCATACTGCCTTCACAACATTTCTTGCAGTAATCTTGATATACTTTAATCAACTTCTGCAAGGCCCTCTTTCTAACAGATATCTGGAAAATAATTTTTAATTGTTAGGAATTGTGTATTTTGTCCTTCAGCAGGCAAAAAAATTCAACAGGACATGCATGCCTTTTTATCGCGAAGCCTTTCAGTGGTTTGAGATATTAGTTTGGATGGAACATGCTTCAGGTTTGAGCAGGAAATATCACAGGCAACAAGAACTGCCTGCATTCTCACTCGGTCATCAACGTCTAATAGTCGATCTTCAACAGAAGCTGCTCAGTCGAAAGGTTATCAGGAATTACTTGGATGAAATTATAAGGGCAATTGAATAATAAATATGAAATTGAACAGCTTAGTATCAATAAACAGCAAACAAGGACAAGAATATCTGTTGAGCAGCTTACTGATAATTTCATTTGATTCTCTACCATAAGGATTTGCCATATAGAAAGCTTTGGCACACTGTAGAGCACTAATTCTAACATCCACAGATTTATCAGAAAATCTTTTCAAAAACTCCACAAAAAGATCATGATACAACTGCGCAGCATGGTGTTCAGGAAGTGCAAAAAGCTTCCCCACCAAATTGACAGCTTTTATCCGAACATCAACCTGATCAGCCTATGCAGTGGAATGCAGATATAATTATAAAAAAGAAAAGGGTAAGAATATCAATAAAGGACAAATCACAGTGACAAGGCTCCCCAACTTGAGAGGAAAGGGGTAAGGTCAATTGTACACAGCCTTACCCTTGCAATTTTGCAAAGAGGCTGTTTCCTTGACTCGAACCCGTGACTTTCTGGTCACAGGGAGCAACCTCACCGTTGCTCCAAGGCTCTCCCCCTTTAAGAATATCAAAAAATTTGAAGAAAAGAAATAGAATAAGCATGTTAAAGATAAATGAACTAATTCCAAGCAATTGGATTTAACTTATATAATACTTTAAAATTTGATTAAAAAGGAGAGGATATACCAATAATTCTTCAATTAAGCTTGGGATGACTGCAAGAAGCATCTGAGGGGCACACTGAAAAACTTCAAAGATAATTTCATGGTAAAATTCTTTAAGCTCACAGTCCACAGCGTCTCTGTCATGTATACAAGAAGTTAAAAACCTACAAACTAGGGGGTTCAGCTCATCCTCTTGTGCACAAGTTTTGATGACTGATGCAGCAAGTTGATAAGCAGCACGAGTTGCATCCTGTCGCTCAGTCAGGAACAGCTAAGTGAGATTTTGTAACAATCTAGGTTTCGTTTAAAATCAAAATGTGTTTTAGAAACCCAGAATCTGGATGTCCAAAAGAAAAACTTGTAACATCAAAATATAACTACAACTCCATAATTATGAACAATGGTATTCCCAGTAATTATAGTGAAAATCAAATCGCTCAATAATTTTCAGCCTCCTTATCATGCATTTATCTTGTAAGACTTTACAAGTCATGCCCAAAGAATAATGTTTTAAACAAAGATTCTTTTCAGTAATGCATTGTAAAGATATAGTGTCATGAAAGATCAGGAAGAAGCCAAACAAGGCTAAATCGAGCAACTTGATTGCAGCAAAGACTAATCAGAATTTTGGTCAATGTAGCTATAAAATTGAGCAAACATTTATGGCAAATCTTTTGCCATGAGAGGGTAGAAATAGTCTGTCATTACTTTTCTTGAACATATCAAATATGTTGTGTATGTTGAACTGAGAAAATAAATGGCACACACAGATATATATATATGCAGATTGACAAGAAAAACAATGAATCACAATTTTTTTGGATAATACTCACATTCTTGCAAACAGAAAGGACAAATATATGAAAACACATTACAAATATTTTAGCCTTAATCATAATGGATTCTCAGTATAAAGCTTGCTTCTCATGAAAAAATATCAGAAAATAAATATATTAAATATGCTAGAAAAAAACAAAAACAAAAAAAGGGCTCTTACTTTTTTCCGCTGTATAAGATTTATTAAAATCACTTCCAATAGTTGTTGAGAAGCCTCCTCACTCTCATTCAATATGTTTATCATTATAGAAGACATGGCATAAATCAAACTATCATGGTGATCATCTCTGCAAAAGGGGGTAAAGTAGATTAAGTGTTGTTAACTCTTCCATTAAAAATAACAATTATAATTTCTACTGAATTTTTTTTCTGAAGTTACTTAGGAATGGTTTTCTGAAGTTGCTTAGGAATGGTTGCTGCACAGGAAATAACAGCTAAGGTTAAACTACAACCTCCCAACATCTGCTGCACTCCGTCACTTTATGAAATTGTTAAGGTCAAGTGGATAGTAAATGATAATTCCGTTATAAGCTAAAATCTAAAAAAAAATTCTTACAGCTCGGTCACTGTTAGTACCAGACAAATAGACCTTCTATGAATATAACAGGAGGTTTATTTTCCAGTTAAATAACAAGGTAAAATTAAGTAAAACTGCTAAGCAATAAGCACAGGGAGGGGGAGAGAGAAGGTAGATGTCAACCTCACAACTGAGAAGAAAATATTGAACATCTCGAGAATCAGGTCTATGCAGTCAATTTCCAGCATTATTACACAGCACCTTAATTGAGCCACGGTGTCCAATACTTTAACCCTTTTTGAAAAGAATGGACTTGCAATATCAGATAGATCCGCAAACAAACTAATGATAAGTTTAAATACATCCTGAAATCAAAACGCAAATACATCTGCAATCAGCAAAAAGGTTAAAGCAGTAGACAGTTCAAGCCCTCAAGTGCTTACAAACATAACAGGCCAAAAAAGTGGAAAGCTGCATGCATTTCAATTATGTTACACATACCCTTAAATGCTTGTCTTCAAAAGGCGGTTCAGGTGCCTTGACTCTAAAAAGTTCAGTAACACATATGGCAACCTGAAGCCTAATTTCCTTATCTGCGTGTTGAAGCAGACCGCGAACCACAGCATTAGCCAGGGGCTCCAAAGCAGCTTCTCGTTTCTTAGCAGCTTGTACTTCTTTAGCTGTTCGTGGCTGAGGAGACTGTTCTAACTGACACAAAGCATTTGCAGCTTGCTGCAAAGAGTGCAGAATAACAACAAATAATGACAATTTTTCACTTTGCACACCAACGCCTTAGATAACAACCAACTAGTCATTAGCACCTTTGTGTTGGAAAAGGTTGCAGGAGATGAAATTGAAAATAAAAAAAGAAACTGAAATTGATTACAATGGAGCCACAAATGAATTGTATACTCATCAAGAAGTAACTAATTATCCAATTAATCACAACCAACCAGATTAAACGTATTAATAACTCCAGACTGAAAATTCAAGCCACTAGTGTACTAAGATTGCTTACTCCGTATATAGAGTTACAACATTCTCGCGCTAATTCAGAAATCAATTACCATTTCGAATTCAACCTAGTTCAACGTAGAAATCACAAACAGCTTTATAAATGATTGATAGGATCGATTTCGAAACAAAAACGTGCCATATGCACCATGCGGTTTATATACGACTGACAGCAACGACTACACTTAGAAATTTAGCAAGGTGCGAATGATGCTATGAAAAGCAAAAAAACAAGAGAAGCATGCGATTGTTCCTATATGCGTGGGGTAGAAGGTGAGCCTTACTCGCAGAGATTTGACGATGATATCCTTTTTCTGACGAGTTCTTTGGGCGAGGAGCGTTCCGATTTTGGAGAGTAGTTGCAGCGAAGGGTCATCCATGGAAGAAGAACGAAAGAACGAACGGTTAGGAAGCGCAGTAGTGTTGTGAAGCTTGCGAGTTCACGAGATTTGTATTGGTTCGGGTGTGTAATGACTAATGAGTGAAGGGTTGTTTTGCTTTGTTTTAAGCGCGGAAGATCCCGCCCTTGCACGCGCGTGAGGACTAGCCCTCAATGCGATATGGAATTCAAAACGAAAACTTACTGCACCGGGGAATGGGCAATTTTCATTTTTTTTCAGGTCTAATTGTAATTAAAGAAATTTATTTATTTATTTTTATCTATTGAATAAAAAAATATAAAATATGTAAATAACCAATTTAACCCAAAAATTTAAGCGGTTGGGTGAAACTATATTAATGATTTTATATTTCTCTGACACCCTCTCATACGATTGGACATGAAAGGTGAATAATGCACTAGTCCACCTACTTATGCTAAGAAACTCCACAATACTAAATTAATTATTAATTAAATGGGAAGTGATAGGGATCAAACTCATCATGACACCAATGTTCTGATATCATCTAAAGAATTAATTCAGCCCAAAAACTTAACAAAATACTAATGTAAAAACAGAAAAATATTTCTGCAGTTACTGCAGATAAGTTATCTGCATTTAATTCTAAAACGACGTTATTTTGAAATTGAAAAATTAAAACATTATAATTATAAAGACTATAATAACCCTGAAATAAATTAAAATAATAAAAATACCATGATTTCCGTTCCAAAACGACGTCATATTGGGCTTATTGCAGATAAGTTATATGCAGTAACTGCAGAAAAAGTGAATTCATATAAAAATGAAGTCATTTTGAGTTATAAGATTATATTTAATGAGCACAAAACGACGTCATTTTTGGTTATAAGATAAAAAGATTATAATAATAAAGACTAATATAACTCTGCAATAAATTAAAAGTATAAAAATATCTTAATTTTTGTCATAAAATGACGTCGTTTTAGGCTAGATAATTTATCTCCATTGAGAAATCTTTTACCCTATAAATAATGGGAAAAATGTTTCTGCAGTTACTGCAGATGAGTTATCTGCATTTATTCCCAAAATGACATCGTTTTGGTATTGAAATCTTAAAAAATTATAAATATAAAGACTATTATAATCTTGAAATAAATTAAAATTACAAAAACACCATGATTTCCGCCATAAAACGACGTCGTATTGGGTTTACTGCTGATAACTTCTCTACAGTAACTACAGAAAAATCGAACCCATAAATAATATGTTTATTGAAAGTGCATGCCATAAGCCATGTTCTCCGTAGCTCACGTTATTACATTATGTTTTTCTCTCTTTGTTCCATTTGTCTTCTTTCCTCTTTTATTGACTCATCTTAATATATAAAATTTTCATCCCACCTATGGAAACTTTGTTGACGTGTCGCTATGTCCTTCATTCTTATCTTTGTGTTCACACTGAAAATTAGTTTGAAAAGTTACCTCTTTTAGAAAATTTTTATTATTCAAAAATTAAAATATTAAAAAAAGGTGAGATAATATTTGACATTCAAAATTTATTAGTGGCAAACAACTGTATTAATGTCCCACTAATTTTTCAATTTTAAATTTGAAATTTAAATTTGAAGTGGGTGGGAATATATTTAAAATTCAAAATTCATTGGTGGCAGACATCTATATTAATAACCCACTACTTTGATTGTTAAGCTATTAATTGTTACAATAAAAATTAGTTTAAAAAACGAAATACTTCCTCTATAAATAGGATGTGTTGCGGTGCATATTTTCCTTTGGTAAATCACCTTCTTTTTAATATATTTCTTTTTGTTTTTGTCAGTTTCTCTTCTTTGACTTCTTAAGCTATGTACTCCAAATATGATTTCATAAAGGATCTTAATCCTATCAAGGAGGACGGGAGGATCTTAACCTGTTTTCAATTTGTTTTTGGCAACTTTGTTGTTGCTTGATTTGGTTTTGATTGATATACTAATGTAAGTATTTTGTAGGGTGGAAAGATCCATGCTACTCTCAAGGGTTCTTTGCAGGTCCACAAAAATGGTTGTGTTATTGCTTGACAATATCAGATATTTATGTTATGTATGTGGTATATTTATTGTTTATTTGTTAAATTTTGTTTTAATATATTAAAATAATGCATGCAACTTCTGCGAAAATAAGGGTCACAAGCTTGAGTGCACTTTGTGGAAGCAATGTGTGGATGAAGTGCAAATATCAAATAATCAGTCTTCTCAGAACATCATAATAGTCCAGCTTGTAAGTATCAAGGGTTTAATTTTTTTTAATATTTGGTAATTATTTTTAACTCTGTTATACTCTAATTGTCTCTCTGTATCTCCCACTTTTATATGTTCTCAATTGTATAGGAAAAATCGGAATAACAAATACAAAATATACGATAAGGATTATCTTAGATTCAAATGTACCAGATATTTTGTTGTAGACTTCAAAAAAAAGTGTCAAACGAGATCAAAATCGAAATTGATATTTTGTTGTTTAGTATTACTTTTATCTAAGATTTTTTCCTCAATTTTCTTATGTATCCCACACTATAATCCCCACTTTTAAGAATGAGACAATCTTATTTTAATTAATTTGACTTCTCGGTTGAAAAGAACATTTCTTTTTTGTTATTTTATTCCCTATCAATTCTTCAATTATTCGCTATCAATGTCTATTGGGCTTAATTTTAAGAAACATAAATAATTTAGATTGTTGAAAAAAGTCACAAATCTTTGCAACAAATAATTATATATTATTATTAATAACTAAACTAAAATGAATGACCCCTGATGTGCATTTGTAGCATCTGCGGCCATGTTCATAAACATGCTTGCAATATCATTGGGATTATATGGCATTGAGTTAAATGGAGGCGGCATTGCATGGCTTCTTGATCCTCTTGCATATTGGTTTTGGGATTCTCGAGATGATCTTTAATTCTGATATGGAATAATATTATAATAACACAAGGCCCACTTTGAAAGTCTTCATCCTTAAAGTAAAGATTGCAGTCAACAAAGGCTGCTACAGTATAAGCTCATCTCAGCAAGCTCCTAAACATTAAATGTTACATCCATATTACTTTGGCATCAAGACAAGCAAACTTCATCACTAAACAAAGCCTATATCAGCCACCTATAGTAACCAATTAGAAGAATTGCCGCCTCACCACTTGCAAGCTGGTCATCTCCCAAGCTGCTTGTAAGAACCTTCTCCGTTAAATTAGGAATTTAATTAGTTAATTATGAGATAAATGATACAATTCCATTATTGACCCCAATAATTATGAAAAGGCTTTAATAATTATTGAAAGTGATTAATAATGTTGAAAGTCGATTTTCTGACGAAAAGTACGGATACCAGTTCTGCTCCACGGTATAAGTGCATACCGATGAAGTATCCCGAAAAATTATGAAAAATATGTATATATCACTAGAATAATATCTAGAACTTGCATAATAAGTTTGGAGCCTAAATAATGAGAACAAGCGTCAGGACTGATACTGGCTACGTAAAAGCGCGTACCAGCAAAGTGCAGCGAAAAATATAATAAAAATATGATAAAATCCTAGAAAAATGGCTAGGTTCAGAATCTCAAGTTTGAGATTAAAATGATAAGGGTAGCTATTAGTGCTAATACAATGTGTTTAAAACTTAAACGACTATAAATGCTTAATGGCACTTAGCCCTGGGCCATATTGGCTTCCTACGTGACTTGTTCAGCAGCTAAGTGCCTCCCTTTGTCGCCACCCTTCTTCCTTCACCTTGAGAGCCAAGAGGTCACCTTTCCTCTTGGTTTCTTCACCAAATCTCCTAGTGTGAGTGTGCATTAGACTTGAGAGAGTGTAAGGTGCTTCCTTTTATGAGTTTGATCTCTGTTTGGTGAGGTTCTTGGGGATGACTTCTTGATGGGAGTTATGGGAGCCATTGTGAGGGCATTTTGAGCTTCAAGAAGCCACCTTTTAACATAAAGGGCCAAGCTTGGTGATCGAATTCGTATCTTTGCAAAGTCAGTGTTGTGGGGCTGTGTTGGAAGCTCCAAAAGTGTCCCATTTTCTGAGTTTTTGGAGCTTGAGGTATACCATGATCACCTCCTTTGTATTTTCTTGAGTTTAGCTTGATTAATATATTAAAAAGGAAAACTTGAACCATTTGAGTTAAAGGATGATAATCTATGCTCATGACATGTTAATGAACTGCTGTTTGTGGAGTTATTGGACTCCCAATCGCATTTGGACACTTAAAAATAGGATTATGCAGTGAACAGCTCGAGTTTCTGCATTCTGTCTGATAAGTATTCGAATACTTTTCGTGGAGTATTCGAATACTCATCAACAGGTAGTCGAATACTCGTTGAAGGAGTATCGGGATACTTTTTTGGGAAGAAAAGTATTCGGATACCTTGTGGTATTCGAATACTTAAGTGAAAGTATTCAGATACTTTCTGGAGACATGGAGTATTCGAATACCTCCTGTAGATTTAGTTTTAAATCACTTAATATGAGTTGGAAAGCCTTAATCACTTAATGGAACCTTGGACAATGAATATTAATGATTATTTATTGTATAAACAGACTGTGTTTGTGTTGTTTGGTGATCTTGAGCTAGTGTTGTTTGTTCCACCGACCTCCACGGGAGTGTGATTTATATGCATATATGCTTTTATGAAAGATGAAATGCGCATTGATATATATGCCTGAGATGCGTTTAATTAACTGTTGATGTTGATTACTTACACAATCAGTCTGTGACTCTAGTGTTCAAGGACTTATACAATCAGACTGCGACTCTGGTGTGTAAGGCATAAGACTGTGACTCTTATGTTTAGATAGGTCGCAGACGTGCATAATCCCTATCCTGTTCCCTGGCCAGTCGAACCACATTTGCATACATAACATGATTTATTAAGTTGTATGGCTCTAGAGAGAGATTATATTGTCATGATTAAATGCCTTAACATGAACATACATGGTAAATACTGTTTTCGTACTTATATTATACGTGTAAGTGAGCTTGGGGCGGAAGAGTCCTGGAGGACCCATTGTCTTACTGAGATTTCTTTTTAGAGATCTCACCCCGCGTTTGGGGCACATTTTCAGGTTCAGGTACCTCGGGGGTTGATACCTCGGGCGGCAGGAGGCCGGAGCTTAGTTGACTGTTGTATGCCTGCTTATGCTGATATGTGTGGATGTTGTTTATGCTTATTGTCTTTATATTGCTATCTGAGCTGAGACTTTGTTGGGCTTGTTGCCTTGTTTGGTGAGCATGAGGATTGTCCATGCCACATTGTTGTTAGTTATGTTTTAGCTTGAGTTGTATAATCTATTAGGATTTGTCCGGTCTACATGTTGTAGTTCCGTGACTAGAGACACAATTATTTATATTTATTTAGTGAGGTATTTCAGTTAGATGTTTAATTGCAATTTACATACAGACAATGTTTTGAAAAAGGATTAAGTAATCAACTTGGATAATGATAATGACGTCATAATTTAAAAGAAAAAGTTAATTCTGCATTCTTATTAAGCGTAGCTTATTACGATGATATGATAACAAACCGGGTATACACGAGGTGTTACACTGTTCATCTCTCTATTATAAATACATATATGTTAACACAAAGGTACACATCTTCTTCTACATAATTAAAACCTGCTTGAACCAAATCTGAGTTGAGCGTCAGAGTGTCTTGCAGGTACATCCCCCACCTTGTTCCACTGAAGACCCATGGGTTAAAGCTGCTCCAACTGCAAGATGCTCTGACCCAAGGCGGATCCAGGCTATTTGTGTAGAGGAAGATCATATGATCAGCCCAGTTGTAAAACCGGTTTCGATCAAATTCTTTAAAGAATAAAGAAAAAATAGGTTTAGTAGAAAAAGCAACATTGAAGTCATTGCTTAATGAAGGAGAGGTAGAGTATTTATAGAAGGTGAAGAAGTTATGCAGATAATTAACGAGATAACAATCATTTTTCCGGAAATAAATTACAGGAGTATGTATTGAAGCAAAAAGGAAAAGTCTGAGAAGCACGTTGAAGTGAGCTAACAAGCTGAATTGCATTCACACGCTACACACCTGTTTTTAGGGCATATTTGGTATGGATAAGGCACGATAATATAAAGTCTGATTAAATTATAATATTATTTAACATTTGGCATTATATTATGGGAAAAAAGTGTGTCATTTTAAATGACACATCTAGTGTTATCTCACTCTCACAAAAAGGTGAGTCCCATATTTTTATTTTTTTTGTGAAAGTGAAACGACACACCTTTTTTCCTTATATTATATGAGATAATGTATTTTATAAGACAATATTATCCAGTATTTAGTGATGCACTATATAATACTAAATAAGATAAAAATAAATATTTTTAACCAAAATACCCTTTAATAAAGAATTTATATAATTCTTCCAAATATATCATATGATATTAATTTTTATAAAAATCTATCGATCAATATGTCCAAAAAAATATGATTTTTGTAGCAATAAAAATCTCTAATATTTTTAAAATAAGTTCATAACTACTATATATATTAAATTAAAAAGTTCATGACTACTATGTTATGAAAAGAAAAATTATGTGAAAAACTCACCCTAAATGAGCTTATATTTCAGTTAACTTTTTGCTAATGACTTACTCTAAACTTAAGATATATATGTTGGGCTCGTTTGGTGGAGAGGATATGATAAGAACAGATAGGATAAGAGAGTTGGATAAGTGTAGGATATGATATGGGGCTGATAAGCCGATATCATGTCTTGTGTTTGATGGACACCTGATTAGCAATCTGATAAGATTATGTTATATTATGTGTTTGAGGCGAACCATATATCATCACGATATGATACAAATAGACTAAAATACCCTTTTTAACATAATGTCATATAATTTATCAAAAACTAATTTTAAAATTTTTTAAATTTATTTATACAATATAATTCTAACAATTATAATTTTAAACAAAATATTTTTAATTAACTTTTTCACTCTTAGGGGGCGTTTGGTAAAGGAGAATTTTTTTGAATACTAGGAAAATGTAATTACTAGAAAAAATGTTGAAAAATGAGTTTGGTAAGAAAATGTAAAAAAAGTTGTTTGGTTGGAAAAAAATTTACTGGGAAAATTTGATAAATATTATAAAGTCTATGTTTGGTTTGAGTTAAAATATTGATGGAAAAATAAGTTGCAATTATCAAAATACCCCTTATTTTTAAATATTTTGAATCACATATGATACCCTTTTACCTTTAAATAATTTGGTATGATCGTAATTTCCATTCTTACTTTTGGTGCTATTTACCTAGGGAACTCAAAATACAACATCACAATTGGGAATATCTTTTTTTTTTTTTTGGATTACAAATTGGGAATATCTTGCCTTCATTATTGGAGAGTTTGACATGCAAATCAGTTTGCTGGGGTAATAGTTTAGGTAGGCAAATGAAGAAAGTGGGACAACCAAACATGGTCAAGCTACATTCCCAATTGGCTTTTACCCATCTATCTTATGAGATATCCTCAACCAAACACAACCTTAAGACTTTTTCTCTCTCTTCAAGTGAGTATTTCCCTTTCTTCATACTTGAGTTGTGTTCCTTTATTAAGTTTCTTTCTTTTGTTTCTTTTTTAAGTTCCATTGGCCAAATTTAATCATAAGAGGTTGTTGAGGATTCAGTGTCCGCCGACCACCGCTTGAAGACTCTTCCTCTTCTGCGTTTTTCTCTCCCAAATCTAAGCTGCTATAAATCTGAGTTTTTTCCCCACCTGAATCGCTTCAATAGTGGAAACGTTTGTTTCCACTAATCTTATGCGTTCACACATCGATCCCAACCAGTTTGAGAGAAAAACGATCTAAAGTACGATTCAGATCCTGATGGATAGCGTGGAGATATATTTGGTATCTAATATTGGTATCCTATCCTGTTGAATCCTAACCCAGCTCCCCCCATAGGATAAGAAATCATGTATTGGTTAGGATAAAATGAGACAATAAGATAAGCTAATCATATCCTATTGACCCACCAAACAAGAGATAAAACTAAGATATGATAAGTTATTATATCCTATATTCTTTATTAGGTGCTCCAAACAGGCGCTAATGCTTAATCTTATTTATTTCAAAAAAGTTTCTCTACGCGTAAATTTTTTAGTTGTATGTCATTGTAAAAATTAATTTACTTGTTAAACATTCACTTTGGTCCCCTCAAAATTCTAGTTCAAGCTCTGTAATTGACTAATTGGGTCTTTTCCCATTTTTTTGTCAGTAATGGAGGAGCTGCCGTTGTAGGAGGCTCTGATGTTGTTTTGCTTTATACTTCAGCATATGCTGTTTGGTCGTATATATGAGGAAAATATGGAAGGTGTTGTTGACATAGCAAGTTTGGTGCTTTATGTTTTCACATACATCTACTTCAGTGGGTTCGATTCTCGCCAACATTTCTTAAACAGTTTGGTTACTGATGTCACGAAAAGGGGCTGCATTTTTGGTGGCATATAAATGTAGTCTTTATTCTCCAAATAGCGCCATCTCTACTATTCCTGACAATTATCTACACACTTTTTTGGTCCTCAGTCACCCTCGGTAAGAAGAAAAAATAAGGGCCACTAGCCATGTTAAAAGGTTTGCAGCAGTGATTTAGTTTTAAGGACTTAAACTACAACTTGAAGTCAATGAAAGTTTGGGGGCAGGAGAATTCACAACAGGAATAGTTGTATGATCACTTGAAAGCCTTCTGATATCCGTATATAGTGCAGAAAGCGATACACAATATATAACATGGATCTAAGGAACTATCCGCATCATTGGTTCATTATGTGGCATTTGCTAGATGACATAATCAGTCTATCTAATGATGGACGCTTGGAGCATGATGCCTGACGATAGTGGATGCGAATTGTATCCGGTCCTGCAATCCCTGCTTCCAACAAATATAAGGTTAGAGATTATGTGATTATCGAATAAATTATGAAAACCACACACCAATATAACTAGTTTGGTAACCCTTAAACTAATCCAAAGGGTAAGTTAAACTCACTAACCCAGTGTGCCAAACAGTTAACTCCTAACATAGAAAGCAAGAACCATTTGAGCTAAGATAAGGATAGGGTATCTTAAACAACCTTACATACATGATGGGCATGCAGGCATTTGTACGAGATATACAACCTTCAGCCACATGCCACAAATAAAATAAAAATAAAAAACAAAAAGGAAGATTTTTCATTATCAGATTAGACTATGACATTGTATTCATACGAGCAATAACACAAACATATGGAGTGAATACAGAACAACACCCCTTCAAAACATTTTTTTTTTTTTCTGAAAAAGAAGAAAGAGATCAACTAACCTGCAGTTCCATCAAATAATGTAGGTGGACTCGAAGTAGCGCCAAGAACTTCCTGCATCCTTAGCAACAGAAAGATACCAAAACAAGTTTTAGAAGGAAGTAAGAGATCCACTACACTGTCTACACCATAAATTCAAGCGAGATACACATACAATAAGATTGGTTGCCGAGAAAATGGGGTATCAAAATTTCCCCGTGTTTCTCAGAAAGAAAACATACCCCCTTGCCATAGCAATTCACACTGGCATCCCACACATTTTTCTTTTGGTGTTAAACGGCTGAACCTGAAGCTGAATCTTGTGAAATGAATAACCGAAATGGAAATGAGTGTTTGAGAATTTGATGGCAATGTTTTCAGAGGCACTGCAACTGAAAGGAAGAGAAGGCACCAAATGCTCTGGCCTTCTTCCAGAAAGGAGAAAGAAGAAAAAAAGGGATAGAAGGATTACAATGGGGAAGAAAAAGACGGGAAGGGATTAGCCTAATACTTTTACCCCTTATCAGGTCCAATTTCATTCCCTAGATCTGATTAAATTATACATCATTTTAACGTATTAAAGGATTTTACTGTATAAGTTTATATTATACGATGGCCACACCAAACTAACTAAAAATGTCATAACGTATAATATAAGATTATATTATCAAGCCTTATACATCACACCAAACAGGCCCAACAACTACAGTAAATTAATAGTTTAAATTAATACAGAAAGGTAAATGGACAATAATGCTTGAAGAAATGAATAACCACACGAAAATAACATCAGTATGACTCCTAGGGCACTGGAGATTCAAAAGAGAGATAAGCTGTGGAAGACAATCATAACGACTAGATCATGTATTTCATCTGGCAAAGTTTATTCTTAATTTCTTTCCAACAATTTCTTCATTAAAAAAATTTATTTTGGAAGAAAAAAAGAAAATACCCATTAATTAGGACTGGTTTATATAATACAAAATTAAAACTATATTTTAACTATGATCACATGTAGTACCAAAGATGGAAATATGGATAATGCCTAACTTTATTAAAAAGAAATAATAATAATACCTGGTTGTGATCTGCATGATGTTGGCCTTCTCTCAATTTTTGCAGAGCTGCCTGTGGTTAATAACAGTATTATGACCACAGAGGAAAAATAATAAGAGAAGCAGAAGGAAAAGGAAATACAGAACAAACCTGTATATTTTCTTTAACAGACTCATTGTTCGGATCCAACTGCAAAGCTGTAGAGATAGAACATCATGTTCAGGCTAAATAACTTGAGCTCCTCGAGATTCACTGAATTTAACATTTCTGAATTCCAACAAGCTTGGAACAATATTCATCATGATATAATAAAAGATCTTAACATTTCCAAATTCCAACCAGCTTAGAACCAATACTCACAATGATAGAATAAATCAATAATGATTTAGACTGAATCATTTTCTAACTATAATTAGCACGAATACAAAATGCATTTTGTGGTAAAATCAATTCTTTTGACTATAATGTTAGTAACATGATCCTGCAAATGTAAGAAACCGAAATGGCAAAAACAAGCTAATCATTTAAGAACTTCAAGAATATTGCATTAACAAGGTATCTCCACCATTTAACCTTCATTTTTGTAACTGGAGATAACCGTTAAGTCAACATTCTCTGCAGGAGTCCCAGTAAATATATAAAACAGATTATAAGAATATATAACAGTAGGTGAATATAATACTTCAACAACCTTTTTTAAACCCTTTATCAATAGCATCTCCATAGTTTCCTTGTGCATAATAAGCTAAACCCAGACGACTGTATGCCTTGCTGTAGTTTGGATCAATCTCAATAGATCTAAGACAATCTTGCATTGCTTCTGCATATTTGTTAATCTGAGTGTAAGCAGCTGCCCTGATATGCGTAAAAAATTGAAGGCACGAAATATAGCTCAATCAGAAAAATATAATGGTGCCTAAGATACTCTGAACCAGACAACTGTCCATGAAATATGAAATATATTCTAAAATATAAACCAGATAAAGAAGAATACATTCGAAATTAGAGAGATGCATATATACATGGGGTATTGTTATCAACCATCACTACCTCTACCCTCATTCTTCACGGGTAAGATAGCGAATTTTTTTTATGATAGTATATGTTAAATATCAAGACACAAGAGGTATTGATTGTAATCCTTGTGTTTACTACACAAAGGAGGTTCCATTTATATATCAAACCAAATGAGAGAAAGACATGTACACAATGTGGGACCACTACAACACTATTTACAACAACACTCCCCCTCAAGTTGGAGCATATAGATCATATGCACCAAGCTTGTTACATATATGATCTATCCTCAGTCCTCTGAAAGACTTAGTGAATACATCAGCTAATTGATCATTTGAGTTGACAAAACTAGTGACTATATCTTCCGAGAGAACTTTTTCTCTAACGAAATGACAGTCTATCTCAATGTGCTTTAGTACTTTCATGAAATACTGGATTGAAAGCAATATGCAAAGCAGTTTGATTATCACAAATGAGAGATGCTGGGCCAGTGTCTCCAAACTTGAGTTTCTTCAGTAGTTGTTTTAACCAGATGAGTTCACAGGTGGCTGTGGCCATAGAGTGATATTTTACTTCAGTACTTGATCTAACAACTACACTTTGTTTCTTGCTTTTCCAGGAAACCAAGTTATCTTCAACGAATACACAATACCCAGAGGTGGATCTTCTATCAATGAGAGAACCTGCCCAATCAGCATCTAAGTATCCCACAACTCTAGTATGACCTTTGTTTTCATAGAGGAGACTTTTACCTGGAGCAGTCTTGATGTACTTGAGGATACGAATCACTGCATTCCAGTGATCTTCACAAGGAGAATTCAAGAACTGACTTACTACATTGATTGCAAAGGAGATGTCTTATCGAGTAACTGTGAGATAGTTCAATTTCCCAACCAATCTTCTATACCTTTCTGGATCTAAAAATAGCTCCCCCTGATTTGACAAAAGCTAGACATTTGGATCTATACGGGTTATCGACAAGCTTAGCATTCAAAAGAGTTGTCTTCTCAAGAATGTCCATAGCATATTTTCTCTGTGATAGTACAATGCCATCTTTGGATTGAGCCACTTCTATCCCTAAGAAATATCGAAGTCTTCCAAGGTCCTTTGTCTGAAAATGATTGTAGAGATGTTGTTTTACCTGAGTTATGCCATGATGATCATTACCTGTAATGACAATATCATCAATAAGTAGAACCTGAATCAGAGTGTCTATAAAAGACTGAGTGATCAACCTCACTCCGAGTCATGCCAAGCTGTTGTACAACAATGCTAAATCTTCCAAACCAGGCCCGAGGAGACTGCTCGAGACCATATAGGGATTTGCGAAGACGACATACTAGGTTAGACTCCCCCTGCGCAACAAATCCAGGAGGTTGCTCCATATAAACCTCTTCCCGCATATCACCATGGAGGAAAACATTCTTTATGTCCAGCTGATACATAGACCAGTGATGAATGGCTGCCATAGTAAGAAAGAGGCGAACAGAAATCATTTTCGCCAGTGGAGAGAATGTGTCTCCATAGTCGAGGCCAAATACCTAAGTATAACCTTTAGCCACCAATCGGTACCATCAGGACCAACACTGACCCTGTATATCCATCGACAACCAACAACAAACATCCCAGAGGGAAGAGGAACCAGATCCCAGGTATTACTGCTCTGAAGTGCACACATCTCATCAATCATGGCCTGTCGCCATCCAGAATGAGATAACGCCTCACCTGTAGTCTTAGGAACAGATACAGAAGAAAACGAAGAGAGGCAAGCAAAATGTGATGGTGAAAGACGATGATAACTTAGATTTATTAAATACCTGGGCGAGGGATGAGAATCAAGAGTACCTTTTCAAAGAAAAATGGGTAGATCAATGTCAGACGAAAAGATCGGAGCTGCCGGAGGAGATGATGACAGAAGTGAGTTCACAGGAGCCTCAGTAACAATAAGGGCAGGGTTGTGGGGAATGGGTGGACGTGACTGACGACGATAAACCTGGAGGGGGGGGGAGGGGACATCTAGAGACGTAACTAAAGGAGGAGGTGGTGAAAAGATAAATTGAACTGAAATAGGGGGTAAAGGTAGCTAAGTGCAACAGAGTCACTGGGGAAGGAGGGGGAGCCAAAGAATGGAATAGACTCAAAGAAGGTAACATCCGCCGAGACAAAGTAACGACGAAGACTAGGAGAGAAACAACGATAACCCTTTTTTGACCGAGGGTAACTAAGGAAGATACATTTATGTGACTTAGCAGATAACTTGTCAAGACCAGGACTAAGAATATGGATAAAACAAGTAGAACCAAAGACATGAGGAGTCAGTCGATACAACGGTTGATGGGGAAATAGCACAGAACGTGGTACCTGGTTATCAAGTACGGAGAAGGGCATGCGACTAATAAGATAACAAGCTGTGAGGACTGCATCTCCCCAATACTGGAAGGGGACATGGCCATGCAGTAAAAGGGTCTGAGTAGTTTCAATGAAGTGACGGTTCTTGCATTCAGCAACCCCATTTGGTTGAGGGGTGTGTGAACATGATGTCTGGTGAAGGATGTCGTGAGATGCGAAGGAGGTTTGAAATGATGAGACAAATATTCAAGGGCATTATCACTTTGAAAAATGCAAATGGAAACACCAAATTGAGTAAGGATTTCATTAAAGAACTGGTGAAAGATGGAAAACAATTCAGACTGATTTTTCATTAAAAGTAACCAAGTACGTCGAGAACAATCATCAATAAAAATTACAAAATATCTGTACCCCAATAGTGGAAACGGTACGACTAGCACCCCAAACATCTGAATGAATTAAAGCAAAATGAGACGAAGACCGACGACTGACACGATTGGGAAACGAACTACGATGCGCTTCCCTAACTGACATGACTCACTAGACAAACTAGTTAAAGTAGAGAAACGTGGGACCATCTTCTGAAGTTTAGCAAGACTCGCATGACCCAACTGAGCATGGATAGTAAGCGGAGAATCCACAATAGAGCACACCGTGAGAGAAGTCGAAAGCTGATCAAGGCTATTGGACTCAGATCAGATGCCAAGTGTCCTCCCCGAGCTCCAATCCTGCAAAATGACAGACTTTTTAGTGAAGAAAATAATACAGTCATGTGTAAAAGACTTGAAGGAACGAGTGTCCACCTTGCATCTTTCATTTTTATCTTTGTGCATTGGCACTTTGTTGCTTGGCTTCTTTCACCCTTATAGCCTTCAAATTTTTCTCATGTGGTAAGACTCAGGATTGAGTCAAGCGGCTAATCGAAATGAGGTTGAAAGGAGAATTAGAGACATAAAGCACATTGTCAATGGGAATAGAAGGAAAAAGGAGAACAGTGTCAATCCTTCGGGACTGAACCAACGACCCATTAGCCATAGTG